CCTATATATTATTTATTAGTGCATTTAATTTGAATGGGTAATAGCTTTGGCATTATCATGTACTAATATCTAGTAGACAGGATCCCTAAATCCTCTTCAAAACTAAGGCTATGTTTGGAAATTAACAAGTAATAAATTCAATTTATGACACTTCAAAATCCCATGCATCCTTTTGAGGAACAACCTTCCTTAATTCCTTCACCTCATACATATATTATAAAATTTTCCATGCCAAACTCCCAAACATGGCCTAATTGGTAATTTTATTTATGGTGCTTTAACTTGATATGACAAAGATATAAACAAAACAATAACAATAACCTATGGCTTTCAAACTCCATGCCCTAAGGATTTACCATTATACCCTCCTTGATCGTATCGGCCAGTCTCGTTTTGATGACTATTTTGTTTTTACTCTAAAAACATAATTAAGGTAGTTTTTTATAGCAATTTCTTTATTTTGTTATCCTACTTCTTCTAATTTTTTAGTCGAATTTTGAAAATCAAAGGAGGCTTGATTACGATTTTGATTTTAAAGTTTAAATTAACGTTTGGTTTCTAGACTAAGTTGATGAACTTTAAAAGAATGTCTAGTTGATATACCTAGATTTTAAAAAGTGTTTAGCAAGTTCTTGAATTTTAAATTATGTGTCTAATAACCTGGTCGTCTCTGACGCTCCAAGACACATGTTATAAGATTTAAAAAGTGCATTCTTGTTAAGGAGTAGAAAACCGAACAAAGAAGAAATGGTTAATAAATAACATTTTTTCCCTTAAAAATTAAAATTGTTATCAAATGAGACTGAAACAAAACCTGACCTAGGTCAATATTATGAACTCAATTCGGTTATTCCTTCATAGTCTTAATAACCACCGGAATCATAAATTATCTTATGACTCATCAATCAGATAGATTTATTTTTTTAAATAAGGGTTCAAGAAACAAGTGATCTCTTTTCTCCCTACCAGTGGATCCCCAGACATATTCCTCTCCTTCCACCAACTAATTCCATTCTTGAATCTCGTTCCTGAGATTGATAAGAATCAATATTGTTATATATTCTTCTAATTTATATGTGTATTAAACTACTACAGTATCATATATTTTATGACTTTACTAAACAACGTCTTGTTTGAATCAATACATTATAAATTAACATAAAATAAACACACAAAAAGAACAAAATCCATTTGTACCTACCAAATATGGTCAAATTTCAAACTTTACCTTCTCATTCTCATCCTCACATGAAGGAGGGTATTGATGCAAAAGCAAACAAAAAGGGCAAATTAAAGTTGGGTATTTGAATGAAATTGGAAGCAAAAAGCTATGAGGCTATGAGTTCAAAGGGTAAATTCATTAAAGTATATAGGGAGAGACTTCATTAAATTTCCATAGGGAGAGTTCATTAAATTTGTATAGGGAGTTGTAGGTTTTTGCATCAAATTCAGGACTTCAAAGCAAACTTTTTAAAGTTTTTCCTTCACTCTTTTCCCAATGAATTAATTGTATTTATTAATAATGTAGTGTCAAAAAAGTCTTCTCAAATCTCTAACTATGAAATTTGGACTATTGATGAGAAAAATAGTTCAACCATATTTGTAGTGTAGTGAGAGAGCTGAGAGTGCTTTTGGCATGCATTTGAAGGGGCAAAAAGTACTTTTGCTTTAACCAATAAAATTTTTGTTAGGGTCAAATACGCATTCTACTCCACATTATATTTTGTATTCATTTTAATTTTAGATTTTTTTCATTTTAATCTTTTATATTGGTAAACATCTGTTTTTGTAACTGTTTTCTAAAAAAGTGACTAATTTGGTTCCTCCCTGTAAAATTTTATATAAATAGAAACTTTTTCATACAAATGTACGACTAATTTGATCCTTAATTACTTACCCTATTCATTTACAAGAAATTAGCTTTGAATAGCTTAGAAATGAATTTTGAACTCTACATGAAAAAAATATATAATTAAACTATATTTGTAGTGTGGTGAGAGTGCTTTTGGCATGCTTTTGTAGCGGAGAAAAGCATTTTTCCTCCTACCACTAGTATTTTTTTTAGTCAAAAGCACATTCTACTCAAAATCATATTTTTGAAGTTTAAATACTATTTTGGTTACTCGTACTTTTGATTTTAGTTCATTTTCATTCACGTAATTTTCAAAGGTTTATTTTAATTTATGTACGTTTTAAATTTTGTTAATTTTAGTCCTTTACTTTTAAAATGTTTGTTTTTGTACCTATATTTTTCAAGAGTAACTAATTTGATCCCTACTTTCAAATTTTTTATACCACAGTAGAACTCTCTAATATAAATTTATGACTACATTTTAAGAAATTTAGTAAACATCGTGATAAAATTATAATCGAAAGAAATGAGATTAAAGATGAAAATGAAGGAACAAAAACACTCTTAAAAGTACAAAATTCAAAATAGTGTCCTCAAAATAGTATGCAAACATATTTTAGAAGCAATGTAAAAGTAAAAGTATTTGTGGAAAAAAAACATCTTTTAAAAGAATAAGTTATTGGCTAGAAAGCTCTGCAAGGAACTTTAACCTAAAAAAATATTTATCTAGCTAATACTTTTGTATATTTCATTAAATAAACAGAAATTTATTTCATATTTTGTCTCAATGATAGAAGGTAACCCTATTTTAGACTAAGACTTTATATATAATTCCAAGACAAATAATAAATAGAAATCAGCTGAACTCTTTTTATGAGGTGTAAAATCTTCCATATTAAACTTCAAACCCTCTAAATTCACAAGATCATCCAAAACAATCCAACTTTTCATAACTTTCATGACATTGTCCATAACTTAATTAACATCAACATTCACAGTTCGGTTTCTAGTTTTCGGGCCGTGAGTGCAACTAGAACGGGCTTTATGGATGGGTCGGGTCGGGCCAGGCCTGTACTTTTCTTATATACATAACATGAGCTTCCTTATAGTTTACAAATAAATGGCTTTCCTCTTTTCATCTTCTCTTGCTTTCTACTACTCACACATGAATAGGATATTTTACAAGTAACAGAGCATGACAGTCCCTAAATTCTAATATTTCTTTTAGCTTGAGTAAATGAGATGGTGTCTGAGTTCCTGATCAAAGGTAACATCACTACACATGATGACCTTTGAAGAATTAAGTAGCATTTCCGTGTCCTCGAGAGCTAGTCCGTGAAAGCTCGGCAACGGGATTCCTCTCCAGAGATACAAGTCAACGAAAGGCACCAAAATTGTTTTTATCAAACCCGCAATCGTCTTCTGCAAAATTTTCAAACGACAGGAAGTAGAATGGCTTTTACTGTTAATCTGACATGATTGTGATGCTAAGAATCGTTTTCTCAAAAATTTGCACAAGAATTACAATGCAGACGTTCCTCGAGTTTCATGGATTCTTGTTTGTAACTTAACGTATGAAGCAGTCGTACCTGTATTAGATAAAGGCGGAGAGGGCCAATCTTGCTCCATTTCAAAGCCAATGCAAAGTCTTTCAAGGTTACATGACCAACCAAATTCTTCCCCGAGATTTGTGGAGACAAGGAGGCAGAAATTTCCTGATTCAACAATCAGAACCAAAAGTCAGAGCAAAAGGCATCAACTGCTTACTCTTATGTATGACTCTGGATTTACGGAATTAAAAACATGAACCAGAAGAAAGATATTTATGGAATTCATCCTAAGGTAATCACAAGCTTGTCATCATAATTTAAATTATACGCCATAACGGTTTCTTCAGGCAAACACTTTGAGGGAACGTACCAATGAGATGCAAGCAACTGGTGTAACTTCACCGAAATCTATGACATTGATAATCATGTCACCGTAAACAGTGGCGGAGATATCTCGGTCTTGCAGTCTCAAGGATGGTGGAGAGGAAGCGGAAATATTAAGAACAATATCGTCATCCGGATACTGCCTGTAGAGTCGAGGAATAATCCATTTCCACGCTGCAGTGTTCAAAAGTTTCTGATCGGGAATCTTGTCCACAATCCAGTGCATATAATTTTCCTGGTCACATAATAACTACTAGTTCAAGCATCTTTTCAATCCGTTCAGAACGATAAATGGGTGTATACATGGATGAGAGACATTACTACACCAAATTTCCGGTTAATGAAGTGAAATCTACCCTAACATCAAAAGACCTTAAAATAAAATTCGAAGTCAAAGATTATTATGCGTTACGACCATGTAACTAGATGCTTGATATAATGGTGAGAAAAGAAAAAAGAAGTATGGGAGTGTTCATCAATGAAAACTTACTTCAAAGAGAACCTGTGAAACAGAGTTGAGGACATTTTCATGTAGAGAGATCTCAATCATCTTAGCTGCATCTTTACAGTAGACAGAACCTTCAGTCTCGTCATGGTGATACTGAAAGAAAAGAGTAAAGCGTTACTGGGAGGGTAGCGTAAAGGAAAAGGGAAGTATCAAGCACAATAACTTACTTCGAAGGGAACACGTGCAGCGGAGTTGAGGACATTTTCACGTCGAGATTTTCCATAATCAGAATCAATGATTTCGCCTTGATAATAGCTAGAAACTAATTTCTTGTTAGAGGGGGTGAATAAGCCATTAATTTTAAATTCGATGGAAGAAGGGTATAACACTGGGCTCCCCACAAAAGTGGCATTCAGAACAGCAACATCAGCTATGGGGATTTCTCGTGGAAGCAACTGCAACGACGAATTAAGATTTACTACCCCTTCTCTGATTTTCTTGGAAATATTATCTTCAATTGTTGACTCTATTTTCCCTTGAAAAGCATCAACCAACCTGAAACAAAAAAATGTAGGCCCGAACCGATTTAGTAACTAAACGTGCACACACCAAGAAAGCAAAGTTTTGTGTCAATTAATCAACCCATAATGAGACTAGATTTAGTAACTAAACGTGCACACACCAAGAAAGCAAAGTTTTGTGTCAATTAATCAACCCATAATGAGACTAGTATTACTGCAGTAGAAAGACCGGTCTATGTTACAAGCTGACATGGTAATCTGGTAACCATAATTGTTTCAATTTCTACTTTTTCAAAATTTATCACATTTTCTCAAAGCTCGACACCAACAAATCTAAAGAACTGATGTAAAAAGTACCGCAAAAGGGCTAGGGTTAATTAAGAGGGAATGAGTTCAAACCCCATAATGGCCACCTATCTTAGGAATTAGTAATTCCTATGTGTTTCCCGACACCAAATATTGTAGGATCAGACGGTTGTCCACCATGAGATTGGTCGAGGTGCGCATAAGCTAGCCCGGACACTCACGGAGATCTGGAAAAAAAAAAGTACCTGGTTTGGAAATTTTAAAATCTTTTGGTGTTGGTGAATAGAGCATAGTTTGTCATTCCATTAAAATACGGCCACAAAAATAAGGATTTCTAACACTTTTCAAAATAAACTTTCTTCCAGGCCAAAAAGTAAGGTTCTTTAATGTTCTTCCCAAATAAGGTTCAATCGTTCAAACTTTAATGTTCTTTCCAAAGAAGGTTCAATCGTTCAACATCTTAAGTTCGGAAAGAATCTTTGGAACACAGAGGAAACAGAAACCTCTCAAAATACAGCCTCAACCGAGGCACTGCGTATATCACACATGACAGAGCAAGATATCCAGTTTCAATTCAAAAAGGAGGGGTAGGCAACTCCAGAATAGAACAAATCTTATCAAAGTGGAAGAAGTTAAAAATCATAGTTATCGATTGCATACACTTGGTAAAGCCAAGATGCCCCGCCGTGCAAATGGATGGAGATATCTTCCACATGGCAGCCACATTCCAAAAGAGACACCTCAAGAGTTCCATTTTGCTGACTTAAACTTAGAGTTAGGCCTATATTCATACCATCAACCTAAAAGTCAAAATCCCCGAATAAGAATTCAATAATTATGAAAATACATTGCAATTGTAAAGAGCTGTAACTTATGAGTTGTTTCAAAATGAAATGTCAAGCACTCATAACTTTGAACAATCAATTAGCAGAGCCATCTCTTACACATTCTATGATATTATTTCTTTTACACGGGTGAGTACAAACAACTCGATCAAAAGGAGGTCGTATAACTACCTAAGAATGCCATAAAAAGTGAAGGTATCGACAATAATGATGGTACCATGTTGATACAGATTAGAGGCCATTCCTCATCTTCACTTGCTCTCACAATCAAAATTTCTTTATGATGGTGTCTAGAAAAGCACTAACTGATCATCAAAAGACTTTTATTAGATACCACACTCTCATGTCACCACCTTGAACCTCAAGATATAGTTTCTCAACTGCATCATTATTTATATATGTTTCCTTTCCAAGATATGACTTTCCAGTCCCAACGAAATCCAATGCTCACAATAGTTGCAATGCCAGACAAGTGGACTTTTTTTCTTTTCTTTTTTTTAACGTAAAAACAAATGGAAGAGAGCCATTTTGGTCGAGACCCTGCATATCTGCAATCTCATTTACGGTTTATTACAGAGTAGAACAAGATTGCATTCCACATGTGCAGATTGATATTTGATTGATCAAACAGAAGCCAAATATTGAATATTTTCTCTGGTTAGTACTTGAATTTGTAAAATAAAGCTTCAATAAGCTTCTTTCAAGTTCTAACACCTCATTTTATACAATCCCTACATCATATTCATGGCAAAGAATCAGGATAGACCAAAGTTAACAATATCTTTGTTCATTTACTATTACTATTATTATAATCAGGGTGTCGAGATCTACTCCAGGGTGTCGAGATCTACTCCGCCATCCCACTAACCTTCCATGAGATTTTTCCCACTCAAAGTTAGCTTTTTGAGAAACAATAAGGGGGTGTTTCAAAGTGAGTATTTGGATTTTGGTGGGTTGGGCTTAAGATGTCAAACTCATGTTTGCCCCGTGGATTTGTCAGGTTCATTGGACAAACCCATGAGTTTCAACATAACCCTAACCCACTCCATCACACAACTTTTCTAAACCCAAGCTAGCATTCCTAGACCGTTCCCATAAATTCCAAGGCTTAACGCTCCCAGGCTTAAATGTTAAACTCGTAACCCAAACGCTCCCAGGGGCTTAGAAACATGACGCCTTTAATCCAAAACGCTTAATACCAAGCACCCCCGGGTATCTTCGTTCATATTTTTCAACATCAATACATTAACTATTCTGTTGAAATCATTAAGATAAAAGCAAATAACACTACTGAGTAGCAGAATTACCTGAACAGAGGCGTCTCCTTTATCAGAAATTTCAAATAACCAGGTCCCATAAGTATATCTCCAATTCATACTCGGATTAGCAGTGGCTTTCATAACAACTATATTGATACCCGTCTCGCCGATCTGAATATCCGACGAATCGACCTCGAGGCTGCCGATGACTATATCGGAAAGAACGACATGAACTTTGCCGACGAGGATGATATTGACAGTCTTCTCAATATCGGGCAGACGAAGCGGAATGATGGTGGAAACTGCCTTCTCTATCAGCAAATCCTTGATGAAGTTGAGACCCTTTTGAGATATGACCGTCGAAATGAAACCCTCTTCGCTGGAATTGAAATGGGAAGAGGCAGAAGCTAATACAAGAGAAAACACTATGAACTTCAAAAGGAAACCCATATCAGAGAAGAGCTACAAGCATAGAATACGGAATTGTGAAGAGAGAACAGCCCAGTTTCTGGGCGAGAAGATGATTGTTCTCTCTGAAAATTGCGAAAATCAGAAGATAACCAAATGAGAAAATCGGCTTAGAAACAGCAATTTTAAGAAATCAGTTGATATTTCTGAAATGGGTTTTTGAAATCTCAATCCCTTCTTCAAAAGACTTCATGGAGAGGAGTATGATTCTGGAAATCTTGGATTGAATTGTGTGATTGGGGATTTGCGGGAGATTAGAATAAACAAAACAAACTTGTAATTGAATATTGGATGAATGACCAAACTCACAAATAACAAGAGCAATTTGGCAATAGAAAAATACAGAAATATTCTTCTACATGGAAGAAAATAACAAAATTATCTGAATATGGTTATAAAAATTTTCCAATAATGCAGAGAGAAGACGGTGGAGCTGGGGTAGTTGTCAAACCGAGTTGTCATGAATTCATGACTCGTGCTTTGTTCTTAATTTACATGTCTTGGTGGTGGCAAGGGAACAAGAAGAGAGGGAGGAAATTTTTTTGTGGAAATTTTTTTTAATAATTTGATTTCATAAATACCTAGGGCTAAAATAAGTTTAGCCTTTTAAGTTTTTCTAAAAATATAATTCAATGTCAATCGAATCCAAGATCAACTAATTAAGACACCTATTTTCGATCGAGAATTTGAATTCTCACCTCATAGGTCGTACTAAAAAAACAAGGGATTAGTATATTGATAGTCTATTTAGGAATCATAATTACATAATTGAAATATGTAAAATTCACACTTTGGTCATGAAACAACACTAATTAAATGGTACCCATCACACAAATTATTAGTATATCATTTTAAGATCCACCTTAATATTAAATAATTTTTAAAATCAATCCTAAAAATCCCCAAAACCATGTATTTTCGAAACTCATTCCTTCTTCCTCTGACCATCCATTTTTCTTCCTTCGATTGTCTGTTTTTTCTTCTTCGACCATCTGTCTTTGTCTGCCTTCCTCTCTGACCAGCTCTGTTTTTCTCCGTCGCCTGTCTCCGTTTATCCCGTTCAAAATGAGATTTTCGTCCTTCCTTCTTCTCCGATTGTTTCTGCCTGCCTTCGTCTCCAGCCGACGTCTGCCTACCTCCATCTCCGGCCGCCTCCGTTTTTCTCCATTGTCAGAGTAGTTCGTCTCCGTTTATGCCGATCGAAGGTTTACATTGCAACAGTTGTCTTCGATTTCTAATTTCGTGTGAACTATGGTATATATGAGGATATATATTATAGTGAGTTTGATTAGGATATATCTTATAACTCAACTTATGCGGATATGCGGATATATACTATAGTGATTTTGAATGTATATAGGCGGATATATACTGTGATTTTGAATATATTTTTTGAGTAGACTTATATATGTTTATTGAGACTTCAAAAGATAGTTTATGTGATTTTGAATTGTTGAGCACTAGTGTGGGAGTGAATTAAGGGAAAATCAATTTTTTGAATGAATAAATTAAGGTTTTGAAGGGGTGAATTAAGGAATTTGTGTTGAAAATTAGTATGGGACCTACAATAATTAAAGGATTATGATAATAATTTATGGAATTAAATATATTTAAAAATAACAAATAACTATAATAAAGGTAAATGTAATAAATAATGGTAAAATCGGAATTAAATAAAATCTTACTTGCACATATCTTCTTGTAAAATTAAAAAATTTTAGATATTTGTAAATAAGTTTCTAAAATAGTCATTTGAAGACATTATCTCAAAAAACAAATAACATAAATCAACTAGTTAAGGTTTTATAAACTCGACCAAAGGCTAATGATCAAATCGTCCCTCCTACATGTCGTTAAACTGGAAAAAAAATGTTTTTACTTTCAAAACTATAGAATAAATATTACTTTAATACGTCTCTAAATTTTAAAACTATCTAATAAATTCTTCAAAAAAAATAAAATTTCAGGGATCCATTAGACAAGTTTAACAACTTTCGCAACTTTGAAAATTGAAACTAAATTTGTAATTTCAAATTTTAACATACATATTTTTTTAAAATTAATTATAGTATTATAAATATAACGTTTTTAAAGAACTCTTATAGACTTTAATAATAGATTATAGATTTACCTAATGATTTAGATATTGATTTATATAATTAATGGCTGGCTTAATTGTTGGATGAGCTAAACTACAACACTCGTTAATTTATATGCATTTTGCTCTGTGTTTTATTTGCTATTACTTTTTTATTCTTTATTTCAATCATATAAAATTCTTATTATCCTATAATTCAATATGCCCAACTTCTTTTATTATTATTTTGATCCCAGTTCAATAAAACATTATAATTGGTATTGGGTCACATTTATTATTACTTTTCTATTCAGAATGATTCAAATAAATAATTTATGCTCAAAATACCATCTCAAAAAAATATTACAGGACAAATATAGAGATGAAAAAATCGAAACGAAACTACAATCTCTGTCTAGAGACATTTCTTTCTCTCAATGTACCATCACACCAATTTGAACCTAATTCAATAGTGTTTTTTACAGAGTAATAAGAAAACCGAAGAAACTAAACTTCAATTAAAAAAAATAATAATAATATTTTTCAGCAAGCTTCTTCAACTAGCTTGAGAAATCGGCTTCTCATCTCTCTGATAGATTCGTTAACAAAGCCCTACTAGCGAGGGCACGAGCAAGCACATCTTCTCCCATCTTAAGTGAGTAAACTTTATAACTTTACATTCTTGAGTGAGAATCTAAATTTCCATTGCTACAATGAAGATTTATGTTGAATCTAAGTCCACATTTTTTAAAAAGTCTAATGGATCCAAATAAATCTAACTCAACTGTCGTGGGTAAAGTCATGACTCGAGTCTATTGCCTTCGCTCCTTCAAGAATAGCCAACACTTCGATGAATCACACAAAATAACCTAATTTAATAGTTAAGACATCTCTATATGAATTCTCCTCCCTAAAAATACTGTGCTAAGCACTAACTTTGCAAACATAGAAAATGCTCCTTAGGTTCAGTATAAAATATATGTATATGTAGTTCAATACAAATATAAGCATTAAAATGTATGCCAAATAGGCAGGACAAAATCTAGTTTTTTGACAAAATATAAAGTGCTTTAGTTTGGACATGGAAATATGGAGTGAGATTTTCATTCTTTCTTTTCCACATCTCCATCTTCATCTCCATCTTTTTAAGAGTCAAATTAACCAAAACGGCAAAAAAACTCGAGAATTCGATCGATCATGAGTAGTAAAAAAAAGAGATCAAATGCCAGAAAGCCATAGAAACCATTGAAACAGTTCCACAAGAAAAGAAAATAAAGTGGGAAGGCAAAAACCTCAAAAAGGGAGTAGTTCTTGTAGAAGAATTTGGAGTCTTACTAACTTTGTCCAAAGTGGCAACAGAACCATATTTTCTCTCTTCTTTCATAATTTCATCCATTATAATTCAGACATCTCCCCCTATCAAGGCCAATGACAAACCTATCCTTACCCCATGGAATACTGAGAGCACCTCCTTTTGGAAGAGCTCCATCATCATCATTCTGTCTGGATCTTGGGTGAACAAGAATAAGGAATCTGCATTTTACATGACAATTTCTAATGCACTCATTACATGTAAAACATCAACAACAGATAGCTGCCAAACCAGGAAAGTAAACCCAATCCATCCTAACTCATCACAGCTTTTGCTAGTTAAGGAATCCGTATCCGTTGGCATTGATTTCCCATGGTGTTGGGAGATCGTCTCCACCGTGCAACTGCACAACTTGTCTATCATTTATCGGTTGGAACATACATGATATGATGGGCGTTATCTTCACTTGAATTTCAAAGGAAGTAATCTGGGGCGGGTTTCTTTGCAGGAGTTCCTCTCGATTCCTGTACATTGTCAAAACAATCCAACACATTAGATGGTAACATCAACAAATGCAGCACTTTCGAATGCATATTTTGTAACCAGTGTGCTGAGTGTGTGGCCAGGTTCTGTCTAATGGCTTTGCTCACCTACTCAATAGGCAGAAACCATTTTTGGTAGGAAGCACAAAAAATGGATTTAAGGAAACACATGAAAAAGGCTGATCAAGTTCAAAAAACCGTCTGAATGTGGCCTGCCAAGTTTTTTCTTATTATTTACTTTTTTTTTCCTAATAACTGAGGTGTAACCTCATTAACCTCTGAAGAAGTTTCACCCATCCCGAGGCCAACTTTGAAAAGATAACAATGATTTTTAAATTATTAGGTGCAGTTTGATAACTATTTCATTTTTAGTTTTATATTTTTTAAAATTATACTTGTTTTTGTACCATTTCATTAGTAAGTTTTTTACCAATCTTGAAAACATCTTTAGATCCTAGCTAAATTTTAAAAACAAAAACTTGAAAACTACGTTTTATTTTCAAAATTTTGCCTATATTTTAAAAATGTTTATAAAAACTGTATAACAAAACAAAGGTGCACATGGGTGAAAGTGATATTTCAAAGTTAAGTTTTTAAAAACAAAAAATCAAAAATTGAAATAGTTATCAAACGGGGCCTAAGTTTTCAATTGGGGACCTCAAAATGTATCTCCAAGCATCTTGAGCCTTCACTAAGCACTTCTTGTGTGTTACAGACGTAGTTAATTGATCAAGGTTCCAAAACTTCAAGCTCAGCCTCCCTCATTGTATAAGAAACTTATGTAACTTCTTACACGTATATGCAGGTGAAACTTGAAAACATGCAATTAGATGAGAATATCTAGCTACAATAGGAGAGTTACATGCAAAGGTTTTATCCTATCCTATATTGCTCAACTATTTTATACTCCAAATGTGGGGTCAAGAATCCAGATATAACAAAATGCTGAACATACCTGTGGAGCGGCATCAAAAACTCGAAACTGTTTATTGAGGTTCTCATCCAGTTGAAGTATAGCAGCTACATTACCACATCTGAAACACAGTAAGGAATGTTATGAACCATTAGATTGGCACAAAGTTGAGGCAAAGTCTTGAGGATAGTTTACCTGTAACAATAATTAGGAGCTGACCAGACTGTAACGATCTGATTATTGAACATCCATTTATATCCTTCCATTACCAATTGATGAGCCCGACAAATATAATCGATGTTGTTTGTGTGGTTAAAAGAAGTGACTACACTACCACCAAATAGGAAACCCGCACCTCGAGGACTCAAACCCCAACCATCTACAATGTCTTCAGGATCGGACCATAGTAGGTCACACATGGCACCATCATGAGGTACTTCTTGCTTCCGATCAATTGTTCTGATCTGAATAGTAAAAATATTGGCAGTACGCTGAGAACTGATTTTAACCTTATATATATAAGAACAAGTGAGAGCCAGGAAGGGTTCTTAACCTGATCCAACGTTGTTATGGCAGGAGAGAGACCACCATGGACGCTAAATATCTTGTTTTCAATAAGAGCCGAGAGACTGGTCAATTATCAAAGGAACAACAAAGAAATCAGGGAAATTCGATTAATATTGCAATTATTAATGTTCAAATTGTCACAATCATGTTACATGTAATTTACCAATTCCATTTCCCACACGTTACATAGAAACATGCCTTTCCCATTAATTTTTTTAATTATCTATCAAGTTGAACCTTTTCCCATTAATTTTCATATACAGTAAACAGAAACATGCCTTTATTTTATTCTCTCTCTCTCTGCGATAAATGATTGTATACAGAAATGTACAAACCTTAAATAATCAAAAATGTCGGTACAGTATCTCCAAACATTCACAGAGCCATATTTTCGAAGACACTCATCATAAAACCCATAAACCTATAAAGCAAAAGAAAATGTTAGCAACCTAACTAAAGCATTTTATCTAAGACAGTAAAGTCAGAGAAATTTAACCTGTGTGATTTGACGGCTTTCATGGTTCCCTCTGATAAGAGTTATCCGATCTGGATATCTCACCTAATAGAAAAATCCATTTGAAACAAAGTTAGTTGAGCTACAAAATCAAAATAAATTGGGTGGAATTTAGGGGGCAACACCATACATGATACCATATATTTATCTAAAAACTGGAATTCGACATAAATGTTCAATAAAAGCTAATTACTTGTAATATTGGCTTCCGATCTTATGTAATAACACATGGACTCCACAGAGATGAATCGCTGACAGTGAGTTTCATTAGATTGAAATCCACTCTCTCTCACACTCCCTCCCCTCCCCCGCGCTAGTCTACCCTACCCTTTCCTTCTTATTGGGGAGAGGATAAAAAAATTTATGAAGGCTAACTAAAAGATCATTCTAATCCTGAATAGCACCTGGAGCTTCCTCCTCCAAGTGCTCTTGGCTCAGGACATATATCATTTATTTAAGTTGTCTTCTTTCTCATTTAAAAAAAAAAAAAAATCCTCAAATTATGCATTTTTCCACGTATAAGATAACCTTGCTCCATAAAGTGACATGTTTCAGTCTCAGTAGCAATATAAAATTCAATGTTTGTCCCTTCAAAGGAAAATATCTACTAATTCTCACCAAACTTAATATGGTGTGTGCTTTGAGAAGAGCCTTCAGAGATAACAACCACTTCATGTTTCATTATTCATTCTCAAATAAGTAGTTAGATGATGCAGGCATCATAATCAAGGAGAAGAGAACCAAGCTACAATCACCTATCTCCCTTGTATATAGGCAGCAAGGGTCTAGCTAGTAAGCATGGTAAATGAGTTGGAGGCCAAGGACAGTTATTTCACTGCTAAGGATTAGGCTTCATAAAGCACATCTTGCTGGCACAAATACTGTGGGGATGGGATCTTTTGATATGCTTGGGAAAGTGGATCTTAGTTGGGCTACTTTAGAGAAGTTTTTTGTTAAATACCAGCTCGTAGAAAGGGTAGAATCCTTTTGAATGCCAGTTTCCTGGACAGTCCTTGGACTATTTGTCAGATGAAATAGACACATTTTCAATACAAGCCTTCTGGTGAGTTCGGCAATGGTTTCTAAATTCGTTAACATGTCGCTTTATTTAGGGCTGCCACTACCAAATAGAGAGTTCCTCTTATTATTAAATAAAATGAAATGAAATGAAACAATTGAGGATAGATTTGTAAACTAATGCATTATATTTCTGGATTTGTCACTGTAAAAGCACTTTATAAGCAGAAGATCAAGAATAACAAACTCCCAGAAACGTGAAGGGATAATAAACACTTCCATACTTAGCAGAAACACCGCAGTGACATAATAATATAAAAGGGGGACCAGATCCTCTATGTTGTTTCTTATGATAACAGACTGTGTCTAACAATTAATACTTTTAAGGGGACAAGCCATCCACAATGGTAACTATTACTGTGTAAGAAAAAGGGTTACAGCTACCCTCGAATGTTGAACCAGGGATTATCATCATTGATATTATTGTTGTTGTCGTCGTAAGAAACTTGATGAGTATATTTAATCAAAGATAAGTTACACACCCGATGGAAGGAAAACACCATCCTTTACAATCCAATTTGACAAGAAAAAGACCCTTGCATTAGTAGTAAATAACAAAACGGCGTAATTACAGAATTTCTCAGATCAAGAAACCTATAGAAGCTTGAACCCTGATGCAATCCCAAACCTTGCATACAAAAATTTCCCTATCTACACAAAACCATCCTATTTTTTTCATTCCAAATTTCAAAAAATACCCCAAACACTATACTACTCCAAAGAGGTTTAGCCCTATCTTGGGGAGAGCGATGAAAAATCTGCATCAGGCAGTCCTACTCCTAAGGATCCAAGAATAACTCATGTAAAATCCACACTATCACAAAGAAAACTCCAAAATATGCTAACATGCTGAAAGTGAAAGGATGGGTTATCAGTAATTCCCCTAACTTCTCACACATAACACACATGTATGTATTGATATAAAGGTTGGAAACCTATTTCCAGATCCTATCCATAGTGTCGTTGGTCTCTGAGATCAGTATATAAAATCATGGTATATTCTTGTTCTTCGGTTCCTTGGCTTACATCTCATAAATATTTGTTGTGAGAAGATTTTCTTTTGGGATAAGACAAACAGAATTCTTATTCACTGTTAAGTTGTTGATCCCACTGCTTTTAAGAAAATCTCCAGCTCCCATAGATCGTTCTGAAGCAAGTCCCAATGGAAGAACTCTCACATGGAATCCAGTACGATGGAAGCCTCATCACTCCCCATATCAAAGACAACTTGCTCTTTCAACATCTCAAAACCTCTCGATCCAATAACTACAAGAGGCCTGGATCCCCATTGAAACCATAGAAGTAAAACTGATACATGCCACTCTTTCTGTTACGGTTACCAAAAAATAGAGTCAGTAATTTCCTCTTCAATCTACAGCTCATTTTCCAGGAATCTTCCATCTCTAGCTCCAATTTGTTGGGCAAGATACATTGTTGTTCATTTGTTTGGCTTGGGGACAACATGCATAAATACACCAATTTCTATAGGATATCTCATAAGGATGTCCCATGCAACTGAAAATAATGACTCAAATTTAAACCGAGTCTTGGAAGCCAGTAAAATGGAAACTAAAATTCAAGTGATGTTTAAAGATCCTGTTATCTCTAAGAAGAAATATAGATTAAAGAAGACTACACTTTAACCGTCAAAAATAATAAAATCAATTTGATTATCACCTTTAGAGCAAGAAGTAGTAGAAATGTCTCAACGGAGTAAAATCCTCTGTCAACAAAATCGCCAAGAAATAAGTAGTTAGTCTTTGGGCAATCGCCTCCTACTTTAAAAAGCTCTTTCATGTCATAAAACTGCCCATGGATGTCTCCACATATCTAAGTGAAAAGAAAACCAGAAAAAGGTTAATTCGCAGAATGATTAATGAACAATAAATATCACTCTAAATCTGAAACTCAAACATAGTGAGCAGTGCACAACCCCTTGGTCTTTGGGTGGTGTCCGACTTCTTTAATACTTCAATGAAATGTTGGTTTCTAATTTTAGAAGAGGGAAACTATATATATATATATATATATATATATATATATATATGAAAAAGATATCAGTGCCTCCACTTGAACCACAATGTTTCTTTCCAAAAAGTATACTATATAGTCACAATTTTTCTTTCCAAAAAGTAAAATTCTAAGCCAAAGAAATCTCCTCGATAATTCTCTATGAACCCTGTTCCTAAAATTTCACAACAAACAACATCTAGTTTCATGGACAAGTACGAAGGATACGAGCAAGTTGTTTCCATGGTAACTTTAGTTCGTTTCACATGAATATCCATGAAAAATTATAGAACATTTACCGGTTCAGTGTGTACAAAGTCGCTTACAAACAACTTCAATCCCTCGTTAGTCATACCAACAATAAATTAAATGCTAAAATCCGCTCAAATTTCTACACCAACAGTGCCCGTCCTCAAGAACCAGTTGTTTCTCCAAAAAATTAAAACCCAATCCAGTTACCCAAATTCTAATTCGTAATCAAAAGACAAATTACCATCTAGCGACTAAACGGAAACCCAGAAAGAAAACAAATCGAAATCAGAAAGGCGTAAGTAGGCTTGAGTGAAGTTGAATGAAACAGCAACAGCGGGGAGGGGAAGAGAATTAGAGGGAAGAGCGATAGTTACAGTAACGGGGGCATCGACCCTCTGAACGTTGCTCTCCTCGACGAGGATTTCCATGGCCTTGAGGCAAAGAGCTTTAACTTCAGACTCCTTGAGCGGCTCGCAATTTTTCAACTGCTCTATTTGGCGGTCTAGGTCAGACATCTCTCCGCCGCCGCCGCCGCCTCCGCCGCCCCTGAATCTCTCTCTCTCTCGCTCGGTCGCTCGCTCGGCCCCAGAAGGCAAATAAAGTATTGTGGTTGCTGTGGTCTTTGTTCACTTCTTTTTGTGCTGTTTTCCTTTCTCTCTCCACGTCTTCTTCTCCACCTCCACTATTTTCTTTTCCTTTTTTTTCCTGATAAGAAAACTCAATAAATAAATTACTAGTTTGGTTTTTCTAACAGGAAAAAAGAACACCAAATTTTGTTGTCTTTCAAAAATATATCTATCTTTTGGTAGGATAACAAAAGGCTACTTCGATGTAAAAAATCGTTAGAAATTCGAGAGTATCATCTCGGTAATAAAAGTATATGGTTCCCGCCACCACTTTGGTACTTTGTTTATCGCTTTTTTAGCTTATGCAATAGAATTGGTCATTGGCTCTAGAACCCCTGCTTGAAGAAATTAATAGATTGGAAGGAGGTTGAGTTCGATTTATGGGTTGTTTCAAAAATGTCATTTGAGCAAACGTCTACTAGTATTTTGAGTCAAAAGTTGATGTGGTCGAATCTTGAACGACGTGACATTAACTTTCCAATTGTGCCCTAAAAATCTTATTTTCCATAGTCTACCTAATTTTGTCATAGTAACTCTTTTTGAAACTATAGCTTCTTTTACATTTTCTCTATTTTTATACTTAATTAGATTATGCAATGTCAATTTTTTCGTTCAAAAAATTAACGGATGTTTGTTCAAGTAGTGTCATTAAAAATGTTGAATGATAAATTTTAACCAATTATTAAATATCACGTCACAAATTTAAAATTATATTTATAACTATTTTAAAGTTCAACAATTCGTTCCAATCCATATTTCCAACTAAAAGTTTGGTTGAATTTTGTATAATTTGATGGTTTAGTTGATATAATATATTTTTTTTTAATTTAGAAGAGATGTAAATTGTAACACAAATTAAATTTCATAAATCCAATAGTTATTGCAAAAATTTGTTTAAAAAATGCCTCAAGTCCTTTAATATTACATTGTTTTAAATGCTGAGCTAAGATTACGTGGGTGAAAAATAAAAGTATATGAAAAATTATTTAAATTTGAATAATAAATCTTTTTAAAATAATAGTGATGATTACACGTGGACGTGGGACCCACGGTTACCTTGTTGTGTTAGGTTCCAATAATCTCAGGAACACCTTTTTTATTTTCCCTTTCGATTTTTATTTTCTTCCCTTTTAGGGTATAATTGTTGGCTGTGCAGAGAAAATTTTCCGACGTTCTGATTTCCGATTCCAATTGATCGGCGCTTTAATCGGAACGAAGTATTCGTCGCCGGCGGTGGCGGACGTGTGCCGTCTTCCCTCGATATTCCATAAATTCTTTGCCGGTACCCGCTCCCCATACAACTAGCCGTAGCCGGCCGTCCGTTGAATTCTCATCTTCTCCGTACGTCAATTCCGATTTCCGAACGGGTAAATTCAATTTCCTATTGCCTTTATAATTTGCCTTTCTTCACGGCACTTTTCGGTGTATTTGGTGGTTTGTTCCGTTGTATCTGTTGATTTCAGGGGTTGATTCCAAGGATTTTCCCTCAATTATGTATTTTTTTTGTTTGTCTTCGGATTATGAGTCGATGGGAATGTTTGATCCTTCAATTTACCAATTTGTGGGTGATTCTAGATTATTAAAAGGGTTTAGCTCTACATGGATCAGCTTTATCTAGTTTTTTTCTTCTGCTCGTTTCTGTTTGTTTTCTGGGGATTTTCTTTCGATTCTGCGGATGAACTAGTTGGGGCGTTTGATGTTAACAAACAACTGATTTTCTTGAATTCTGTGGTTTTTGGGTTTGAAGGCCAATGGCTTATACTTTGGAATCATGGACGAAGGAATACAATGAAGCTTTGAAACTCTCTGAAGATGTCAACAGCATGATTTCTGAGAGAAGTTCCCTTGCTGCATCCGGACCGGAATCGCAGCGCCATGCCTCAGCTATACGCAGGAAGATCACGATATTGGGTACCAGACTTGATACCTTACAGACTCAGTTACCCAAGCTTCAAGGAAAGCAACCAATGTAAGTCATGTTACATCTAGTTTCCCTTTTCCACCGTTTCCAAATAGACAGGGAGGGGACTATCAGCATGGCTATTCCTTCTGTATGTAGGATAATTCCATATAATTTAAGTTGGAAATTTTTTCTTTCGATAAGAAATGTGCTGAAACATATTTCTGTGGATGTGGTGTGCTTAACTAACTCTGCATTTACTTTGATAATTTTGGTGGGACTTGGCCATTTGTGTGCTCTGTATATTATATATATTTATCTGCTTCTCGTGGCTTGCAGATCAGAGAAAGAGATGAATCGCCGCAAGGACATGCTTGCAAATTTGAGATCAAAAACTAATCAGATGGCTTCAGCTTTGAACATGTCAAACTTTGCCAACCGCGATAGCTTACTTGGCCCAGAAATAAAACCAGCTGATGTCATGAGCAGATCAACAGGACTGGACAACCATGGCCTAGTTGGTTTTCAACGACAAATTATGAGAGGCAGGTTTATTTGTTTTAACTCGTTTGAAAATTTTTACCGTTGTCAATCTCTGTTAATGTGAATATATGATATTTGGAGCAGAGCAAGATGAAGGCCTTGAGAAGCTGGAAGAGACTGTCATTAGCACAAAACATATTGCATTGGCTGTCAATGAAGAACTTGACCTTCACACCAGACTTATTGTACGCCTACTTATCATCATTTGTAGACTTATTCAATCACAAACTCTCCTTAATTTTTTATTCTTGCAATTCCTTCTTGTTTTCAAGTGGTTTATCTTTCCTCTTTTCAATGGTGCAGGATGATTTGGATGAACACGTCGATGTTACAGATTCTCGATTGCGGGTACAAATCTCTTGTTCTAATTCTTTTCTTTTGAGTTTCATCTTTGACTGTTTTGGCTTGTACATGTATTTGTTCTGTCTGAAACTGTGAGAGGTCCGTGGGGAAAAACAGAATATATTTCTGGTGAGGATCTAGTTATTTGGAAAACTCAACTGTTCAAACTTCCTGGACAGTCTAGATTATCATTATTATCTTTGTGTCAAGAAGATTGTTCAAACTGGACTGCCCCCCTCAAAGTGGGGAGGAGGTCTGCTCCCTTGATAAAATCCCAATCCTCCAATAGTAATCTTGTGCTTGTAGTTGAATTGTAATCAGGATCAAGAATGAGCTTGCTAAGAAAAAAGGTAACGACAATGGCATCATATCATGCATTCAAGTCTGTGAATCTGTTTGTTTTGTTTCCCTTTCTTGATCGTATTAATAGATTAACTTGTGCATTCGATTAAAACAGCGAGTGCAGAAGAGGCTGACAATATTGAACAAGCGGACCAAGGGCGGTTGCACCTGCATGTGCATGCTTTTATCAGTTGTCGCGATTGTCATTCTTATCGCTGCCGTATGGCTACTCATCAAGTATTTGTAATTCACTGTGTCTTGGTGTGAATTGGCTAAACATAACCTTGTGATTGAAGAGTATGATTTATGTTGTTTTTCTTTGTGAAATCGTTCTTCTTTTCCCTTTCTACCACTTGCTGTGGAGTGGAGTTCATGAGATTGAGGCGATTTTGGACGTGTATATTTTCAGTTTTAAGCAACTATTGTGATTGCCAACTCCCTCTTTCCCCACTCTCCTTACTACAAAATATGAATGATTTGAGATTTAATTGAAGTTTAAATTTGTGTTCTGGGCAACATATTTCATGATTGAAGCTAATTTTCATAATATTGGTCGTTGTTCTGACTCCAAAAAATCAAAAGATGACTTGAGATCTTATAACTCTTGTGCAGTGGAACTTGTTGAATTTTCTCTCATTTGTCTTAAATCTTAAACTTATATCCATAATCTATGCCATTAAAAAGAAATTTTATTTTGACCAATTTGTTAGAATGGGATTTCTTGCAATTTCTTTTCAATCCTCATGAATATTAATAGTGGATATTAATTTTGTTTAAATTATTATTTTAACTCTTAGATTCATTTTGATCCTTATACTTCCTTAAAGTCTATTTTGATTTTTTAACTTTTGTTCATTTTAGTCCAGGTTCGTTCTAGTCTCTATACTTTAAGAAAAAAAAATATTATTTTTATTATTATATGCAATTTTTTTTGATACATTTGCAAAATTTTTTAACATAAATTTAGTCTATTTTATATATAATGAAAACTCTTTAATACAATTTTATGATGTGTCAAAAAATTTTGTAAGTGAAGTGATGCTAAGATTGTGGTCGAATGAAATGAGATAAAAATGAAAATAAAGAGATGAAGGCCATAGAGCGGGCGCGGGTGTCCTTGGATATAAGGAAGCAAAGTTTTGACTCCCTTTTATAAAAAAAATCCTGGGTATAAGGGAGCAAAGCTCCGACTTCTCGTAATAAAAAAAAAAAAGACAATGATGAAAATTGTAAGTATAAGACTGAAATGGTATTTAAACCTTGATATTATTTTTCTAATTTACAAATTTAAAGACTATATTTCAAATACTAATTATTAGCACAGAGAGTTCATTTAGATCGAGTTAGAGCCATACAAAGGAGAAATATTTCAATTCTATTGGTAGACATCTCCATCTCATTGAATTACATATGGAATGCAATCACAAACTTGATTAAAAATATATATTTCAAAGTCAAAGCATCACTTTATCAACAAATTTTAACAATAATGGAACAATGATCAAGCAGAAAAAGATCTGAAAGATGGCCCAAACAGCCAGCCATAGAAAGGATCAATTTCACAAATGGAGATCAGTATTAAATAACTAAGTATCCGAAAGAAATAACAGTTGATCTTCCCAAAAATTTGACGGAAAGTAATTAATCAACACGCAGGAAACACAAAATACAGAACCCGACCGAAGGTCATCATCTTCCAATTATGAATTGCACAGATTCAACCTGAAAATGCAGCATAGATACATGGAATCTGAAAAATATAACAATCTGAGGGTTGATCAGCAGCAACCCATGATGATTTAGATTCATATTAGCAAGAGTTTCCAAAATAAACTTCACTCCGAGTCGTTCAGAATTGGAACGATAAGTGGCTTCATTTGTGCAAGATATACAATTGCCCACCTACATTCAGAAAATGTCCAATAAAATTGGTAGTCAGTTTATATCGTATATATCTAGTGTCGAGTTCAAGAATATATATAGAAAATCGCAATGATGAATCATCTTCAAGTTTCTAATAGATATTCTTGACAAAAAGTAATTCTATACATAGATAGATTCAATAACACGTGTCAGGCTAAAATTTGAAAGTGCCAGTTTGTTATTAATATGTGTTGAAGTGAAGATTTCATTACAGAAGAATATGAAGGTCCGTTGTCAATAAGCCATTAATTAATATTTCACACAACCTAATCCAACATGTTCTAATCAAATACATTGAAATCAATAAACGAAAAAGTTGGATAATATAGTTACTTATACACCCGTAGTATCAAAAAGTAACCAAATAACACATGTTCTTTCTAACCACTGGGTTGATTGTTCCATGTTCTCAAGTTGACGTAAAAGAATATCCATTAACCTTCTTGAGGGAGAGTTGGGGGTTGATATATTTTTCTGTTTGGAGAAGTCCTAACTAGTATATATTTTGTGGGCATTATAATCTAAGATTTTTCCCTTACTTCTTATGCTCTTTATTTGTCCCTTACTTTTTATGCTCTTTATTTGTAGATATCAATAGTAAAGCCTTTAAACTTTTTTATGACATTTTCATGGTATATTTACACGAAGCAACGTATTCTATTGTAGGTTCTGATGTGTTTCTCAATCTACTGATATATTATTGCAGCTGTACAAACACCTTAATTCACTCAAGCAACATCTTATAAGAGCCTCTGGGCTTCATGCGAGCAAAATTTTGTTGATTAGACTGTAACTTGAGTTTGTAAAACATTACACTAAGAACTCTGACATAACAAGCTATTTTTACAGAATGGCAGAAATTAGTGGGTATCAGATTCAAGACAAACGTAAACTTACATCATCCAGCAGCATATTGTTGCAGTAATTATCAGAGTAAGGTGGAACCTGCATTGAAGAATAACAATTACCGATTGCACTCATGTGAAGAAAAGTCATGCGTATATTTTCACAAATTGTGCACATGCTAAGGGAGTAATGGTCAGCTACTTCAATTGTTCAATGAAGTCTTGAAACAAGTATTAAGATCCCACAAAAATCAGATGAGTGATTGATAGTCTTACATAATTTTTATTTTGAAGCATCAAATGCCTGATGAAGCAAGCAGATGTAACATAAACTCTACAAATGAAGTTTCAGAGACTACCCCATATATGACACTTTTGAGAGTAAGGAGAATGGAACCAAAATTAAACAGCTATAACAGTCATCTTCATAAGATACATAAAGATCGTGTCTAATAAGAGACTTTTAATGTCTGATTTAAACATTGCTTCAAGAGTGAGTAGCAATGTAGCTAAGAAGACAAGAAACTATGGAAAGAGGCTAGAGAAACAATCAGTAATTCACAAGTAAGGTAGAAGCAGAGCGAATACTTAAATTTGGCAGAGGCACGTGTAATTTACAAATATATATGGTAACTGTTGATATGGATCTAGTGATTGTTGAATGTGCAAAGCCAAGTTGGTAACCAACTATGGCTTGTGAGATGCAAACACCCTTTTTCTTCCCTCTCTCATCTTTTGATGATGCAAACCTCAAGTGGCCAAGAAACAGATGCGTGCAGCTTAACAGATCTAGAATAGAAAGAGGGATGGGCATCGTGCCATGTAGGAAGAAGAGAATCTAGGCTCTCCAAATTAAATCAATCGAACAACTTCTAAGTGCATAAAATGCTATATGACCTGTTTAAGATAAGGATTTAAATTATAAAACATAACTTTTTTCTAAGGTACACATAATTTAAAAACATTCTTGCCTAACCCAAGGCCATGGAATTATTATTTCTTTTGAGAGAAACAGAGCCAATACAATGTACAAAATAGATGATCAGACAGCCATTGCAGCACAAGGAATTTTTCTTTTCTTTCCCTTCTATTTTTTTGGATAAGAGACAAAATGTTATTGATAAATGAAAGATATAGGGACCGCCTACCGGCTACCGGGCTACTCCAAAAGAAGTTATAAAAGCACCCATCAACTGGGAGTAATAGTGGGAAGAGAGTACTTAGCATGAGCTCCATAAAGAAGCTACAGAAACTAGATTATCTTAAATATTTTTTTTTATAAGAAACTGCGCTTTCATTGAGATAAATGAATAAATACAACAAAAAGAGGCCATACAAAAACTGCCCAGCAACCGGAAACCCCTAAAGAAACGGGCTTCAATCCAAAAGAATGATACCTAATTGATAATTACAAAAAGCCTTAGTGACCGAACCCCGAGAAGTGTTAAATTTAATGAGGTCTCACACATAATCCACAGATCTCTCCACTCCCCTAAAAATTCTTGTTTATCTCCCGCCAGATACCCTTTTGAATGTCTATAGAACATTATCTTAAATCTATAGAACACCCTTTTGAATATCCCAAAAAATAATCTCATTCTAACCAAATTTCCCGCATAGCTTTCACCAAAAAGCCAATATCCCACGTAGTTTCTCCAGTACCATTCTTTCATAGGACTTTCTTTATGCAACCTAGTAGTTTGGGTAAGCGTTGATATCTTAAATCCTAGAAACCCACTTTATAATCTTAATCGTACCATAAAGCAGTCCATTGTTGAAAAGATGGCAATCATAAGATATACAGAATCATATATGAGTGTCCTAGAATAATTCAAAGTCCAGAATTTTACAACACAAGGATTTTAAATCAATAACACATTAGCTACTGTACAATCTAATAATCATGATCAACAAAACTCAGTCAGTTGCCTAGTATAAGGAAATCGAACATAGTTATCAGCAAAAACGTATACTTCATAACCGAGTTAGATGATGTAGCAGCTAAATTTCCTCTTGATCCACAACCAACACGTATGGAAAATAGAACAAAATCCGATAAAGAACAAGGAAGCTTACAAATTCGTTGAAGCCCCTCTGCGACAGCAAATTGTGATGCAAAAACATGCGATGACTCCAATCACGGCGAAAATCAGGGTCGTCACCAAGAATCCCATTGTTAATTCCGGTTCGACCTCGACCGCGCAATAAAAAAGATCAAAATCTCTGCAATCAAAACAAGAATACGCAAATTAAGATTAAATTTGAATTGAATGAAACCTAAAACAGAACAATTTGAAGAAGAAATGGAAAAAAAGATCACGCGTTTGGTTACCAAGAAACAGGAGGAAGAATTGTGGGAATCATAAAGCATTTCGGAAATCTGCAAAGGCGAAGAAAATAGATCTGAAATTAGTCGGAATCTGCAGATGAGAAAAAATCGGGTCGGGTCATGTTAGAAACTGGGCCGAATCGAATTGGGCTGTACTTCTAAGCCCAGCGGCCCAACTTCATTTTTTCGCGACATGTCGTTTTCTTTCCTTTACTTATTACTATTATTATTATTTTACAATACAACGTTAAAAATACAAATTTGGAGATTGAGGTTTCAAGTAACCTTTGACTTGTAAAGAAGGTCATAAATATCTTAATTAGTGGTGCTTGGACGGAAATAAAGATATCAAATCTCTATCAAGATAGTTGGAAGTTCCAATCAATAAAAATTCGAAAGTACCTAAGAAAAAGATAAATGCTCGGTAGAAATTGTTGATTTTTCAAGATCTACTTAAATTGATATGTGACTGATAAAGTAAATGATGGGTAGTTTTACTTAAAAAAAAGACTTGTAGGTAGTTTTTTTTAAATGCAGATGGTACGTAGTTCATCAATTATATATTAGTACAATATTAACATACATGTTTTTTATTTAGTAGAAAAGAAGTAAGGGAACAAAAAGGGAAATTGTACCAAAAGAAGTATAGCTAAGTCTCTTATTTGTTTTGTAATTTTTTTCTTCGTTAAATTACTGTTTTAGTCTTTAAATCTTAAAAATTGTGTCTAAAAACTATCGAAATTTTAAAAAGCCTAAAAAGTATTTGAACTTTTAATTTTTTTTCTAATAAATTTCTAAAGTTAAAAAAGTATCTTTTTGTTTTTCTATTTTTAGTGTAAAAAAAAATCTTTGAAGGGAAGATTTCAACTCATAAATTCTTGATTAAAGATATGTGTCAATTACTGAGTTAAGAGTAAAGTTTAAAGAATATCTAATATGTCTTTGGACATTTAATTTTGTGTCTAATAAGTTTATGTCACATCCAACATTTTTTAAATTCTACAAATCTAAAATTGAAAGATTACGCCTTATTAATTTTGTGTCTAATAGATTTGTAAATTTTATAAAATGTCAAATATGATAGAAGATATATTAAGCATTAAACTTACCAGGATTTGTTTTGTTAGATATAAAATTAGAATTTCAAAATTTTATTAGACATTTTTTTTAAGAGCACAATTCGTTCCTAAATTAAAATTGTAATTTAATTAATTTATTATTTATTATTTTTTTATTATGTAATTCAAAAGGAAAAAAAGAATCACAATAATGGAATCAAGAGTACATGGCCCACTTCAAAATACAGGAATCATTCTCTTGACTCTTGAAAATGGGAGAATCTCATTCCATAAGGAGGGGGAAAAAAAATCCTCCAACCTATTTATTTATTTTTCCTTTTTTTTTTTTGAGAAAANTTCCTTTTTTTATTTTGAAGAATTGTTTATTTTTCCTTTATTGCATTGGATCCACTACTAATTTTCTAATCATTTTACATTTTTCTATTGCCTCTCTTGTATTGTATCCATATTATTGTAAAATAACATAAAAATAAAATCCAATTATATTCTATATTAATTATCATTCGTCTAATTAAAAAATTGAACAAATTAGGTTGTCGTGATTTCATTATGATATATTGCAAAATTTTATTTTAATTATCCTAATTTAATTTTAATTAGAAATGTCTAAGCTAAAAGAGTTCAACATATGAATTTTGTATTAATAGCACATTAATTAGCTTTTGTATGGAAATATGCCCAAAATTAGATTAGGATCGTTACCTAACAATATTCCATAATATATATTCCTCAAATCTTATTGATAAGTGGAGCTTAGCTCAGCGGTAGAATTACAGATTCATAAATAGAAACAAGAAATGGAAACGTTATCAAACAAATTTTTTAAATTACCCTATTACAAAAGGTATACTAATTGGAGGTGAAACTAGGGTCAAAGATTGGATTTAACAAAGTTGATGAAGATGATATTGACTTGTATAATAATTATTGTTTTGGTTATTCAAATTAAATAAGTGAAACACCCCTCCTGGTTCTTCAAGATAAAAAATAATGTTGAAGCGAGATAAAATTAAGATTAGAGATTCGAATTTTCGTTGTTGAACCAAAACACAAAATCGTCAAGCTCTAGGGTTTTTCCCAAACCAAAAATGAATAGAAAAAAATTTGGTTGCAGAAACTTGTGAATAGTTGACTTTTTCTATTGAAGTTAAAGTCAGACCAAGAACCTCGTGATCAAGTTTGAATATTGTTTAGTGATAAAAAAGTCCCTAAAATCTTTGGAAACCATATGTTAGGGGCAAAAATATGACCTACAACATGGTGAGATCATGTACGGCCAAGCTCCAAGCTCATCTACGAAAGAGCTCCTAAGCTCATCTACGGAAATATCCTAAGTTTATCTAGGAAGAGCTCCTTAAGTCCATCTACGAAAGAGCTCTTAACATCATTTAAGGAAGAGCTCATAAGCTCATTATTCACGGCCGAGCTCCTAAGCTCTTCTACCGCCGAGCTCCTAAACTCATCTAAAAAAAGCTCTTAAGCTCATTCACATAAGAGCTCCTAAACTCATTTACAGAAGAGCTCCTACGCTTATCCACAGCCGAGCTCCTAAGGAACAAGCTTTGACATCATGCGGTTTCATCAACAGTTCAATATTGGAGGGTAAACTGTGTCCCAGGCCGAACTCTTCTCTAAGGATCATAGGTCGACCTCAGAGGCCGGACCCGATTACTTATACGTGAATGAGAACCTTCCAGGTATCATGCTCCAAGGCAGGGATGAATCCAGAGACCAACACGAACCGATGGTCCATAGCAGGTCACTTGACCCCAAAATAGTGAAATACCCCAATGAGATGGATAACTACTCCTTAAACCCCTATAAATACACCTTCACTAAACCCACTAAGGTATACAATTTCTGTCTAAAGCTAATCTACCCAGCTCGAACTCAGACTAACTTGAACGTCAGAGTGCTCTACCTGTTTTTGCAGGTCTTCCTCCTCTAGCTTGCTCCGCATCAGCTCACCCAAGAGGTCTTCCCCCTCAAGCTGACTATACTTCAGCTCGCTAGAGAGACCTTCATTACCCCTCTCACTCTGAAACAAGTAGCTAGGGCTCAACAGAGGTCACTCCACGGTAGTTGGGCAGATTTTTGCATCAATACCATATATTGTTTAGTGATTCAAAATATTAAATGGGGTGTTATATGAGGTGACGATTTGGGATTTCGATGGATTTGGATTAAGATGTCAAAACATGTTTGCGTGACTGGTGTGTTCATTCGTCAAAGTCTGAAGTTTGTTGGACAAATTCACAACTTTTTAAATCCAGACTTCTTAAATCTAAACCTTAGGCTTAACAATATTCCTAGACTTAAGTAAGATATCGAATTCATGTCACAAATGTCCCTTTAAGATTTTGGCTAAGCACACAATTTTATTGGTCTATTTAACTTATCTTTGAGATCCTATAAAATATTAAATTATAATTTTTATTAATCAATAGGGATTGTGTTGGCATTTTATTGAGATTTATAAAGTTACTATGACTTTGGTACTCCTAGCGTGGGATTTTCAAGTAAATAAATATATATATATATATATATATATATATAAAACATGTGGACGATAGATCAAACTTATAATCTCTTGATTGGAGATATATGTCGCTGATATGCTCCCTTCGACAAATAAAGAATATTCTTTTTTTTTTTTTGAGAAATAAAAGAAAACAACAAATATTAATGAAGTTGATTTTGAACTAATTTGAATAACCATCAAGGGAAATTGAGAAACCACTCTCCCACCAAATTTTCCATCATTGTCTTGCGTGCTATACCATAGGCGACAATGTTTCCTTCTCGATCGTTTGGTGTGGTTCACCGATTCCAAATGCTGTCATTCCTACAATGTTGAATATCATCTGTCAACCAATAAATTTATGTGAGATTTTGTCTCTGGCCTCGAATTAACTAGACAGCCTCCAAAGAATCAGTTTCTAGATGAATAAATCTGGGTAGATTGTACTTGCTAGCTACTTCTATCCACTTGCAGATTGCCAATAGCTCAAGATAGGTAATGTCTTTGTCTTCTCTAATAACTTCACATCCAGCCTTCACGATCCTAGGCCACCGACTCCTCTCCCCGCTTGCCAAGCTGCGTCAGTGTTAATCTAGGATACCTCTGATTTCTTTTCTCGAAGAGTGATTATTTTGTTGAGACTGCTGTTCTAATGAATTCTGATATGTATCTGAACATCTGGGTCGTTATCCCCTTTGAAAATAATTCCATTTCTAGCTTCCCAAACTTAGCCATGCTATGATCATAATTTGGCATCTTTCCTCTATTGTTGAATCCTGAAAGCACCACTCCCAATTGACCCTGTCCAAACAACCAAGATTTACATTACCTACGTGGCACAATAAAATGTAGACAAAATGTTATTTATTTATTAACTTTTAATATCTCCAATTTTGTCTCTTCCCCTCTCTTCTTCTCCCTCCTCATCTTATCTCTAACTACATATTTTAATTCAAATTTTCGCTAGACATTTTTAAAAAATTTACTATATCTATTTTAAAATCATATATTGTATCTTTTCTACGGTATCTCTTCAATACTATTTCTTATGTCCTGCCACAAATAAAACTTAGCTATGGTTTTCACAAAATTCAACAAAAATGGACAAGAGAATTACTTTTAATTTTGAAAAATAAAAATAATTTAAAAAAAAATAGAAATAAAATTAGCGAGGCCTCATAGAAGAGGGAAAAAGGAAAAATAAGAAATTGGAGGAGAGAGGAAATAAAAAATATATACATCGCGGAGAGAGAAAAATTGAAAGAGAAAAAATAGGAGATAGATATTGAAGTTTGTTGACTATGTAAGAAGATGACATGCTTGCCCACTCAACTATTGAGAGAAAAACACGTCAAAGTACAGTTTTTTTTAATTATAGCCACCTACCTCAAGAATTAATTCTCATGTGTTTTCCGACGTTAGATGTTGTAGAATCAGGCGGTTGTTCCATGAAATTAATCGAGATACGTGTAAACTAGCTAGGACACTCACGGATTAAAAGAAAAAATCTCCCCACATCAACTCCAAAGACGTGAAATTTCATCCTCTCGTGAGGCCTCAACCTCTATGATCTTTGTGTTTACTTTGATTTTTCACCCCTTTGGGATGTCCATGAGATTTTCTTCCTCTCTAATACACAAATAATTATCCTATGATTTGGAATTGAAGAGGAATTTGAGAAGGTGGAGGTCATTAATGGTGTTAATAGTGAACTAAATATACGTATGATCTAAAGTTGAGCAACCTAATTAAAATAGTTTAACAATGAAATTAAAAGTAATTATAATACACTTGGGTCAAGTTAATAAAACAAACACAACTATCAAAATATTCACACAAAAAAGGCAACATTAATTGTGCATAACGTAATATAAAACTACTTTTGTCTTCTTTTATTAATTATTTGTGACATTTAGAGTAAATTCATGGGCGTGTTAATTAAACCACACAACAAGTTTTGGCATCCCATGAGACTTTGACCCAATTAGTTCGATCTAACTTAGGATGATATTTGCCTATGGAACACAAAGCTGGAGTTGTTAACAGAGGTCGTTCGCCAAGACGTAGAGTACGAGGATTGTTTGGGCACCTCTGTTTCTCATATTTAGAGAGTGTAATTTCAATTCCAAAATACGTGAGAGTGTTTCTCGTTCGACTCTGATTATTTTACATCTTGTTCAAAGTAATGTTTATGTTTGTGTCACTACTTGGTGAAATAGAGTTTGATCTAGCTCATGACTATTGATAAGGTATGCTTGTAAGTTATGTCGTCGTGTCTTGTTTACGAGGGTTGTGGTGTTTCTTTTGCTGTTTGTCTATTTTTATTGCATCAAGACTTTCTTGTTGGTGTTTGGATCGCCTTATTGGTAGGTTTCTAGGGAACACAAAATTAGGTAATTCAAACCCAACCGTTAACATTGTTTTCTTAAAACAATTTTGTTTTCCATCTAAAGTATTCAAAGTATCACGAACAATCGTCATCTAAGATAAGACAGATTACCAACTTGTGAATGCAGCATTCTAAATGCAGGACTCAATAATGAACTCTTAGTATTTTAATCAATCATATAGAGAAAAGAGAAGGAGACGTTTGATGGGAGATTTTTCCATAATTTCAAAACTGAAAAGAACCATATATTTATAGAATATTTCTGACCGTCACATATTTTTTATATAAATTTATGTCTTTTGTTAAATAACATATCAAATCGTGTCATTTACAAAATAAACGTGCTCGTATGAAGAGTTGTATATTAAATATAAATTTATTCATAAAATTAAACACTTTTTGCTAGAAAGAAGAGAAACTTATACAAAATTAGTTAGTTGCGTCTTTTTGCATGATATCATATTTTTAAAGAGAGGAAAAATATATAATTTAGTCTATTTTTAATTGGTCCTAGATCTGATTAATGTTCTACATTGCCCTCCATCCACTTAAAAATTTAATCTATTTCCTTCTATTTTTTATTCGGATCTGAATCAACTAGTATAATTAGTTAAATAGAAAATATCAACTCATTGTCCATAGATAAAAATATGTCGATATGACAATAACGACAATCAATAAATTTGACTAAACCATAGAGACTAAAGTCAAACCATAAAAATTAAACAAAAACTTTTAAAATCATATAAATCAAATATAAACTATGTCCAAATTATAAGTACTAAATTTATAATTTAACCCAACGAAACAATGATCAAAATAACTCTTCTTTAAAATATTATTTGAACTAACAGGGCCTAATATCAAATTATTATTTAATTATATAATGTTAACCACAAGGATATTTAATTAAGAAGATTTTGAAATATTGTAAAAAAAAAAATGAAACTCTTAAAATATCACTAATTTTGAATGAAGTATTAAATTTCTATTGATATATCGAAATTTTCATTGATATTAACATCCAACCACTTGATGAAGTCGACCACGTAAGGGAAATTTGTTGAATCAGTTGAGACTTATAATAATTCTTCGAAGGAAAGAAAAAGAAGTGTTTCTTAAAACGTCGTTCCCTTTGTATTGGATCTCATAAAAAAAGTATTTAACAAATTATTGTTTTTACCAAAAATTATTGTAGCTTTTTGAAATGTAATCACTATAAGAGTTACTGAAAATAATGATCCACATAAAAAGAGATGTATAACTCAATAACATCATACTTACATGCATCATTAATAAATGAGATTGGAGAGTAGAGATTAATAGTAGAGATTGATGTTTTTTTGGTACAACATGTGAGGGTGAGAAATCCGAACTCTCAACCTTTTTAATTAAAAATATATATCAATTACCGTTGAATGGTTGGTTTTGACTGCTCTTCCATTATTCAATTTTTTAGAACATTAACGGTCTAATATTTACTATGTTCACGTATATTAAATATTGGAGTCCTAAAATTTCCCAATTATGACACAAAATACTTATTAAATTTAATATCGTTAAGACTTCAATATTTTTGTCTACCCTCAGGTCCACTACATTTAAATTCTTGATTTAACCAGAAAAAGGAAAAAAAAAGCCTCAAAATGCTGTTCCGAAGACGGATGAGACCTGAGCTTTAACGAACTCCGCCGCAGACTTACACTCCCGAAGAACTCCGACTACCGCGCCAGTCCTCAACAACGGCGGAAAGAACAGCCACGCGCCGGTGACCACCACGAACGCCACCGTCAACGGCCCGGAAACCGCCCAATGCAACCGCCACTTTTCCCCCACCGCCCTCTTCACTCTAAATTCCACCACCACACACACCCCATGAAGGACGAAAAACGCCGTAACCTCCCACGCCGGAACCGCTCTGGTGACGTAGTAAAACAGTAGCTCGTGCATCAGCCCCGACACCACAAACGTCGCGAACACCGCCGCCGGCGCCGCCCCCCGCCGGCGCCCCAATGCTGCGCGGACCGGCCTATAAACCGWGTACCTCAAAGTATTCGACACCAACAGATTCCAGCGCCGCCCCCAAAAATCCTGYAGCGACGTCGCCAAATAGGGCTCGTTGGAGGGCTGTTCGAGCTCGATCCCGAACGCCGATCGAACAATCGCATTACTGAGGCCCAAAACAACGTCGATAAACGGATACAGAATCGCGCAATAGAAGCAGAGTTTCGCGTTTTGGGGGAGAGATTGGGCGAAATCGTCGGCGGCGACCAGGGCGGCGAATAGCAACGCTTTCGCCGGCAGATTGAGAGGCAATTTTGGGGAATCGGGGAGATGTGGAGGCGGATGTAGGGTTTTGGGAGGATTTTGCTTGATTCGGATGGGGAAGCAAGCGATTGAGGCGAAGAGAGGGAAGGGCAATGGCGGATCGGAAGCGAGAGGGCCGGAATCGAAGGAGAAGAAGAGGAGCTTGAAGGAGGCGAGCCAGGTGATGAAGAAGGCGACGATTCCGGAGAGGAGGAGGGAGGAGGGCGAAGAGAGGGAAAATTGGGAGGAGAGAGAGGAGCCTGAATTTGCCTTTGGGAAGCTTTGAAGCTACGAAATAGGAGTAGAGCAGAGATGCGAAAACACAGAGGGATACCTTGATTAGGGCATGGAGTTCGGCCGCCATGGGAGGTGATTTTGGAGCTTTTTCTTCTCTTGTGTGAACCACACAATTTTCACGGAGAAGACGACGAAGCCACTCACTTAATCACTTTAATAATCTGTCTTTTTATTATTATTATTATTTTTGTCTGAGTTCTAAAAAATAAAAATAAAAATAAAATATTTTCAAATTTCTATTGGGTCAACACGAAAAAAAAAACAGTACAATTTAATGTAGCAATCCCCGGCGACTATTGAGGAGCATATCAAAGTACAATTTTCTAATGTTGATTTATTTTAGGAATTAATTTTGATGTATTTTATGATATCAACTGTCATAGGGTCAAATGACCTTCCCATGAAATCAGTCGAAGTATGAAGTACATGTAAACTGATCCGAACACTAACACTGACGGATATAAATAAAATCCAATTTTTTATTCCTCTCTCATACATCTGATAGTATATAATCGACAAACATATTGTTCCAACCCCTCAAATAATCTTTCCACGCCAGTTTCAAAAATTTGTGAAATTTCGTCCTCTCTGAGAGCCCTCAACCTCTATGATCTTTGTGTTCACTTTGATTGTTCACCCTTTCAGAGATGTCCATAGTATTGTCTTCATCTCTTCTCATGAAAGAGAGAACACCAAGCACTTTCTTGAGCAACAATAAGGTGGTTCCGAATTTACACATTAGTTGATGCTTCCCATATCATGTGAAATTTAGAGGAGAGGAAAAAAGAAGGAGGAATATAATTACGTTGGTAGTTAGATTAATAGCTTTTGTATGAAAATCCTCATCTTCATCTATTCATTGCTTAATTCGAACTTCATTTTCGAAATACCTCAATTTAAACATAAATGTATGTTGCTTAAACAATCAAGGAAGTCAGACAACTGACACATTTCTCAACCCATTTCAAATTCAAAGTTTTTATTACTCTGTCAAATTACTTTATCTCAAACGCTAAACTCCAACCATGATTGAAAACTAAGAAGATCATCCCAACATAATTTGATGGAATCTCTACTCAAAAACTATCAATAGAGGGTAAAAAATAGTTTTCCAATTTTTTTTTTATCTTTTTAATTTTGTAGTTGGAATTAGAGGTCAATCGGTTGCTAAAACTAACACCAACCACCGTCTATTCGATTTTAGTTGAACATATCTATTCTTTTTAGCTTTGTACACAAATCGACCAACCAATTCGATCAATTGATTTTTTGATAGATGTTGGAGGTTTAACATGTCGACCGAGAGTAGGGAAGAGATGAAGAAAGAAAATGGAGAAAGAAATAGGAAAAGAGATAGGAGTAGATGAGAGAGAAAGAAGGATTAAATAAATAAAAGAGAGAAGTTAAGACTCGAATGAAATTATTCAATCGATTTTTGTAGATTTACGGGAATTGATAGATCGACTGGCAAAACCAATCTCCAATCAACGTATCTAGAACTACTAATCGATGTTGGTATTGGCTGGATTTTCTGACGGTCTTTAAAAGGGGATGTCACAGTCACAACTCAACACCATGTGATAGAAAAATCAAATCATATCTTTAAACATGATTTAAATAAATGAGTGTTTGTGAGGTTCTAGTGCACCTAGAACTTGGCTAATGTTTTGTATTTAACTTCATTGATTTTTTTTAATATATTAATTTGTCAACATCAACTGAATCTGAAATCATAAGATTAAGATTTTGTTAAAGATTCTAGTTTGAATTCTTATTAAAAAGATTAAACATATGTTTTAATTTCTAATATTTAAATTTTTGTTATTTTAAAATTTTCAATGTAATCTATTATATTGTAAAAAAAAAATTTTAATAACACCATTTGATTGGTAGGTGCTAAATGACGCAGTTTATATGATTTATGATTTTATATCTAATGAGCTGATAAAATTTTAGAGAATAAATTACGATTTCTTCCAAAAAATATGTTCTTTTTTCTTTTCCAAATGGTTCAATTCTTAGCCCTACTTCAAATTTCTTCAATTCACTCGGTGTCAAATTTTAAATTGAAAATTTTAGACCATAGAAACCAAATTGTCAAAAACAAAAAAAAAAATAAAAACATATATAAACATAGGAAAACGAGTAAAACATTGACATCTAAAATTGTGTTCAAACTAGTACCTTATCATTTTAGGACAGTCTCAAAGGACAACTAAATAAAATAAAATAGCAATTATTAAGTATTTATTGGTCAGTGCCTATTTTTGAGAAAAAAAATCAAGTACTACTAGATACCAGGAGAAAGTTTAAGAATAATCTTATTTAAAAAATAAATTACAAAAATAATGTATATTTAAAAGTAATAACAAAATAAATGTGGTATAAATAAAAAATTACAAAATTAAGTTATACATCCAAACTATTAACAAAAGTAGGTTAGGTGCTAGTCAAAGTCAATAATCGCATACAATGAATGTGATTTAGGTGCCAACATGACATAGATGAGGTGGACCTCGAAGAATGAGTAAGCAAGAAAACCGTGTACATTGTACGCGACTTTCCAAGTCGTGTACATTGTACGTAATTTTTATTTATGGAAAGTCGCGTACAATGAACGCGATTTTCATTTAAAATATTTATGTATTTATTTATGTAGTTTTTTATTTATTTTACGAATAAAATATTTTATTTTATTAGTATTTTATTTATTTTTTATTTTCTATATAGTTTTTATTTATTTTATCTATAAAATAAAATTTATTTATTATAAGTAAAAGTATACATTCGTCTAGAATATATTTTTTCAATAAATCTTAGATCATAATAAACGTTAAAATAATTTATATAAAAAGAATCACATGTATGTGATGATCACATACAATACAATTGAAAATATCAAGAAATTAAAAGAGAAAATGAAATTAAAAGAAAAAGGTAAAAAGAGAACATTAAATTTTTAAAAGAAGGTTAAAAGAGAAATTGAAGGAAAAAAAAGTTAAAAAATGTTGGAAGAGTAAAAATTGAAAATAAAAAGAAGTGAATAGCGAAAAT